TGCCTGGAGGTATTGATGATCCACTCTTATAAGATACGGAAGCCCGTTAAGCGAAAGCTTATATATCAAACTTTTGCTGTGTTCTTACGCAACAAAAGTACCATTTCAGTTCTAAAGAATCTATCCTGAGCTATACGTTCGGTAGATTACTTTTTTTTTGAGTTTCACTATATTTAATAGTTACCTGTGGTTTTGCCTCAGCATACTATTCGGTTTTTTTTGTTTTTCACGTATAGACTAGTTTCAGTTTATATCACTCGTTTTGTCCATTTTTGTCCGTTTTTAGTGTGCTTTTTAGTGTTTTTAAAAAGGTCTTAGGCTCTTGCAAGCATCTATAACTTAGTTTGCTTCAACACCGTCATGAAAAACTCGTGCAAACGTCCGGGATGCCGTTTTGCTGTCACAACTGGCATGCAGTGCGACAACTGCAAAGGTTGGTTCCACGAAGCATGCACAAATCTGACAGCAACTGCTTACAACAGACTCAGCAAGTCAGACCAAAAGTGGGTATGTGTCACGTGCAGCACGGACGCAGTAGTCTTGCTGAGTAACATCATTGTCCTACTGACAGGTCTTCGGAACAAGCTGTCAGTTAACTTGGAATACGATAGTAAAAAAACCGATATACAAACAAGAGCGTGCAACGGACTCAAAAATAGGGATGTCGGTTAGTATACCATCGATGGAGCATCCATCAACACTAATGACGACGTGTTGAGGCTCAGTACCATCATTACATCGACGGTACTAGACCCCCTAGGCAAACTTGGGTCTCCCAGCTCAGGGTCCCTGAACACAACAGTGGTTCCCAAAAACCCTGCAGGTGATTCGACCCACGTTAAGAGAGCCCAAAAGAACCAGGCATCACCGCCTATGCCGAGCAACCCAAGTGTTGCTGCACGGAAAATAACTGGTGATTTAGTCGCACAGTCTACCCCCAAGACTGTTCGTCCGGTCGATAAAGAGCCCAAGATTCATAAACGCACACTGACCTCCAAACAACAAGTTATTAAACCTGAACCCATCGTGAAACCTGGTAAGTTAACAACAGTTCGTGACGATTCTCTCATTATCATGAACCTCGTTGACAATCCTGACCTTCCTCTCAGTCTGCGGGACAAAAACGACAGGATGCTGTGGGGTGAATTGAACAAGAAGCTCGAACTTCCTAGAATAGAGCCTTTGACGGTCACCCGGCTCACTCGAGGAAAGGATTCTAAGCATCTAAATCACCCGAGGCTTCTCCGAGTAACACTTAAGAATGCTACCGACGTAGAGGACGTCTTGCTAGCAAGTCACTTGCTGAAATCAGATGGTAACGTAAGAATATTGCCCGACATACCGTACTCTGAGCGCAATATCATACAAAACGTCCCTAAAGAATCTCGCGAGAAGTTTTTCCGCGGAAGAAACATAATTGTCCAAGGTATACCGGAAAATGCAGACCCTACTCAATCAAATTCTGACATCAGGGAATGGAAATTCATCAAACAGTCCTTGAGGCTCAAACACATACTGACTTAGCATGTGACGAGACTAGCCAAGAAGGACGGTGATCTTAGACCCCGTCTAATGAAGATAACCTTCCCATCTTCCCACATGGCGGCTGCAGTTCTGGAAGCATTTCGTGCTAATAGACGTCGATTGCCACCTGGAATCCACATGCACCCGGATAGGCCATACGAAGTTAGGACCAAGAACAAAGGCAAGTTGGAGCTGACCATTCCACTTTTGGACTGTCTAAACGATAAAAAAACGTGTGAAGGACAGGGCCTGCCACCTCGGCAAACCTCATATAGGTGGGCTACCTGTCCATTCACATAAGGTTCATACAGAAAAACAGGACGAAGCTCACGCGTTCCGAATTGAAAGCATAAACTGCTTATATATGAACGCCGCGAGTCTACCAAACAAACTGGATGAACTACGTGAACTTAGCAACGCTAATAAGGCCCATCTGATAGGAATATCTGAAACCTGGATATCTTCTCAGTTCTCGGACCAAGAGTTAGCATTACCTGGGATGACTTTGTTCCGCAACGACAGAAAAACAGGAATAGGGGGCGGAGTAGCCATATACATAAGCTCTTGCTTGGAGGTGCACCAGGGTCACAACCTGGAGTTTAACAATCTTGAGGAATCCGTATGGTGCTCTGTAAGATTGTCTAGTACTTCCAGGTGTCTAGTCGGAGTCATTTACAGGAAGCCAACTGCCGACACCGAGTACGATAGTCGTATGCTGGAAGGACTATCCCGCTCTATCCGTCTCGGTTTCACACACATCCTGATTCTAGGGGACTTTAATCTCCCTAGAGTCAACTTCGCGGAACACACGTACACTGGAGGCGACAACTCAACTGAAGCTCGGTTCTTCAACCTCATCGATAACTTGGGCTTATATGAAAATGTGAGGTCGGCAACTCGTTGGAGAAACAGTCAAACACCATCGCGCTTAGACTGTGTATTCACTAACGAAGAATTCCTAGTCGACAACCTCTCAATCCAGGCTCCTCTGGGAAAGAGCGATCATGCCGTCATAGCCTTCAGTTTTGTCATCAAAACTAAGCTAAGGTATCCCAACAATACTTTGCGTTGGAATTTTAAACGGCTGAATGTGCCGGCTCTACATGACTATCTACAACAGGTGGTTTGGGATGTTCACCCTCAACTCGATGTGGATGGTCATTGGGACTTCTTACTGCACACGCTCTTATGTGCTACAGACCATTCAGTTCCTCAAACGGTTCCCAAAAGCTGCAAGCCACCTACAGTAATCAAGAACCGTACCCTTCGCCTGCTAAGCCGCAAAAGGCACTGTTGGGCAGAATACAAACGAACTAATAACGATGGAGCGTATAGGCAATATAAACATATCAGGAACATATGCACGAAGGCTATAAGAGAAGACAGGCTTCAGTACCAAACAAAGCTTATGGACAAATTCGCCTCTAACCCTAGAAGCCTATTCCGTTATGCAGCCTCTCTTCGTCAAGCCAAAACAGGAGTTTCTCAACTGCTAGGTCTTAACGGCCCGACCAGCAATGATGGCGACGCCGCTAACCTTCTGGCGACACATTACTCTCAAACATTTCAACCGGCTGACATCAACTTTATTGACGACAGTTTCATCTGCAATTCCACAGGACTTTCTGAAGTGGACCTAAGCGCTGACTTGGTGTTCCGGAAATTGCAGCACTTAAGACTTGACACTTCTCCTGGCCCGGATATGGTTCATCCTGCCATACTGAGGGAGGCAGCCTCAATCCTGGCAACGCCGCTTAGCGTGATGTTTTCACATTCGCTTAGCCGAGGCAAATTACCCGAAAATTGGAAGTTGGCTCACATCACACCAATTTTCAAAGGTGGTCGACGCAACGAACCTTCAAGTTATCGGCCGGTGGCTCTTCTGTCATTACCTTCAAAACTCATCAAGTCCCTGATATGCGACGATTTAAATGACTATCTACTGTCCTTAAATTTCTTCTCACCCCAACAGCATGGTTTCAGGAAGGGTTACTCTTGTATAACCAACCTGCTGACTGCGGTGGACAGATGGACAAGCATCCTCGATCGCAAGGGAAAGGTTGATGTCATTTACCTTGATTTCTTAAAAGCTTTTGATAAGGTTAACCACTTGTGTCTTATCAACAAGCTCAAACGACTAGGTATCAAACCACCTCTAATCGACTGGCTTACTTCATACCTAAAAAATCGACACTTTAAGGTTAGGGTTAATTTCACTTTATCTCAGGCTATGGAATGTCCTAGTGGGGTCCCCCAGGGCTCAGTACTAGGGCCTCTTCTCTTCTTGATCTACATAAATGATCTTCCTCAACAGGTAACGTCGGACTTATTACTTTTTGCCGACGACGTGAAACTTTGGAGAGAGATACGCAACCAAGACGATACACAGGCACTTCAGGAGGATCTGACGCGACTTCAAAGTTGGGCAGACGATAACGGACTTACCTTTAACACTTCTAAGTGTAAAGTAGTCCATCTGCGACATGTCGCAAACTACAGTTACAACTTAGGAAACTCCTCTCTAGTAGTATCCCAAGTCGAAAAAGATTTAGGAGTCCTGGTGCCCCATGACTTAAAGTCTTACGCTAATTGTGACAAAAATGCCTTCCGAGCAAACCTTGCACTGGTAACGTTGAGGCGCATTTTTGGCCAGTTTGACGGAAGAACTTTCCACACAATCTTCAACAGTTTCATCCGTCTACATTTAGAGTACGGAAACATAGTACTCCCCCCTCACTCCAAAAGGACAAGGTCACCTTGGAGCGTATCCAACGGCGAGCCACGAAATCAGTTCGAGGACTCAAATCTAAGCCTTACGAAGAACGCCTCCGTTCACTAGACCTTTACCCACTAGAATATAGGCGTCTTAGAGGTGATTTATTAATGGCTTATAGTATTCTTAACACTTCTGGACATCCTCTTAAACACCTACTTAAGCTTAGTTCGAATAATAACCTAAGGGGTAACACCCAGAAACTGGAAACACAACATAGCAAGACGGAATGTAGACACAACTTCTACTCTTTAAGAGTTGTCAAAAGCTGGAATTCGCTGCCGGTCGAGCTAGTCCAAGCGACTTCTCAGGAGTCCTTCAAGAGGCAACTTGACCTATTCTTAAGAACCGAGGACAGCATCACACTATGATTTACCAATTTCTTTTCCTCTTTTATTGTTAACATACCTAGGTTCCTGCCTGGAGGATTTGGTGATCCCCTGCTACTAGACACGGAAGCCTGTTAAGCGAAAGCTTCTTCTATTCCGTCCACAACCATTTGAACCATTTTATTCCGTCCATAACCGTTTGAAGCATTTGAACCAACCTTTTCTATTTACATATTTTATTGATAATATGGATAGATTCCTACATGGACGTATTGGTGATCCACTACTACTGGATATGGAAGCTCGTTAACCGAAAGCTTCCTCTATTCCGTCCAAAACTATTTGAGCCATCTGGACAATTTGACCTTGGGTTTAGTCAAACATGACCTTGTTGTCGATGGTCAGGCAACCTGCAACGGCAAAATAAGTAATACAAGGTAAATCTTTAACCTAGATCAAATAACAAAGCCCCGACAAGTAATCAACCTTGTCAAATTTAGATTTTAGTGCATTATAATGCTTAAATAAGTCACAAGTAGTGTGCCAGTATGTTGTAACGTGTTTCTTATAAGAAACTACGATCCTTGTTTGGATGCAGCGTATCTATAGTGTACTTCCGTTTTTATTTCTATCATAAGACTCAAAACGAAATGGATAGTATGGATCTGTAGAACAATTTAGACGGGAGTCATTGTTAGCATGCTTAGTAAATGTATATTAACTAGGTTTTTGAGTACTTTAACATCATTTATATTTCAAAAGAAATCTGTTAAAGATCTTGCCAACAGATTTAAACGAACTTCGGCACAATTTAGGGTAAGACAGTATCTAAACTGAATTCATTAAGTTCTGAAGACAGAACATAGAGTAGTCTACATTCGGTTGTTTTTTGATCTGAAACATCATCTAGCATGTGTCAGAAAGTGTTCTTAACATAGTGATGTAAGGATTTTTGATAGTCACTATAACGGTTTTATTCATATATGTGGATTGCATGAGTGGTAGGTCTTGTCATAAAGTAATTAAATTATCAACGACACCTACGCATATCAAATTTATAACACTTAAGGAGAAACTGGAATATGCTGAGTAATTTGGGTTCTATAATGATGAATGACTTGATTCTGCTATAAAGGTCTCTCATCACTCCTTAGGGTGTATTCACCACTTGGAAGAGTAATCCTACAGTAGAAACGATGTCCTATTACAATTCACCTATCGTAACCTGAATTCTCGGCGTAATTAAGTATGTAACTAAATTAAGCATAACCAAGTGCTCCACATATTACGGCAACCGGTTTCACAGTTATATTTAATTGTTTAAGACCCAATGTCCTCCACCTTTTCTCTCAGGAATAACGTCTAGCTGAAGCTCATTGAGCTCAGGAGGTTATGCTCGAGAATGCATCGCTAATTTTAAGCGGAGTTATGCGACCTAACATAGACCATAGTTGTTAATTGGAACTTTTGTGCAACGACAACCTATCTAGGCTTGTTCGCAAATGTATGCAGCCAAAGCTATAAAGGGATAACTATAGTTTGGCATTTCTTGGCAGACTGGTTTGTAATCTGATATGGTGGTAAATGTCTCTGCTAATAAGCTTTAATTTTATATATTCACAAGTTCTTAAAAAATTCGAACACCGGCAGTCAAATGTGGGAAATTATATCAACGGCTTTATGATGGAAACAGCTTTCTCTGCCCCGAAATGGCCTGGTGCGGTCGGCAGTGGGGAGAGTCAACTCTCCCTTTTGAGATGCACTCGCATGGTCACGTGCACACTGTCAGGGAAGTCCTACTCACCGCCTTGTCGCAGCGAGAGTGTTTTACGAAATTGAAAGGACGAAGAGTGAATGTCCGGTGCTTTAACCGTGTTCGTGGATACGGACGATCGATCCACCTAGGGGAGTTGAGGGTGTGACTCTAATTTAGCGACGACCTTTGAACGAATCTTAAATGACCTTGACAATTATTAGCCAATCAGAAGACATTTAGTATAAAGTGAGAATATATTGTAAGTAATGAATTACAGTGGATATTCTTCTTTTACATGATTTAAAAACTTGTTAAGGTTTGATAAATGTTCAGAGGCTCTTAATTCATAATGCATATTGTATAGAAACTCGTCCATAGGGTTAGTGGTTAGGGTTGTAGCCTGTCAATAGACACCTCTTCTCTAAAATTCGATGTAAACCGATCGCATGTTAGCACTCTAAACCCTAATCTAACCCTAACCTTAAACCTTAATCTAACCCTAACCTAACCCTAAACCCTAACCTTAACCCTAATCTAACCCCAACCTTAATCTAACCACAACCCTAACCTTAACCTAACCCTAACCATAACCCTAACCCTAAACCCTAATCTAACCCTAACCATAACCTAACCCTAAACCCTAATCTAACCCCAAACCCTAACCTTAGCCCTAAACCCTAATCTAACCCTAACCTTAACCCCAAACCCTAACCCTATGGACGAGTTTCTATACAATATGCATTATGAATTCAGAACTTCTGAGCCTTTATCAAACCTCAACAAGTTTTTAAATCATGTAAAAGAAGAATATCCACTGTAATTCATTACTTTCTTGTAATATATTTTTACTTTATACTGTCTTCTGATTGGCTAATAATTGAAATCGCTCAAACGCTTCTCATTGGCTCGTCCCTAAATTAGAGTTTCGCCGTCCCATCTGTTTTAACCTCTCATTAATCACCTCCTCTCTAAAATCCGCTGTGAACCGACCGTGTGTTAGCATCGCGTGTTGAACTTGGCTCCGTGACCTTGAAATTGCTCAAACGCTTCTGATTGGCTCGTCGCTAAATTAGAGTCTCGCCGAGTTAGGAAACCCTGGTTCAAAACCAGTTGTGCACATGGGCTCTACTATCCTAAGGGAACAAATGGCATATGAACTAGTCGTTGGTCACCGACTACCATGGGACTGCATCTCCTTACGTTTCTCCACTGCCTTGTAGATTAGACTTTTAGGTCGAAGGCTCCGGGTGTGGTCCCCTAAGAAAACCACCTGCTTCGGTCTGAGCACCTGGGCATTATCCTAGCCCTCACACAAATCGAATGATTTGTGTGGCGCATACCTATTTAGTGCCTTCTTTTACCTATGTTTATGTGTTTAAATAAATAATAATAATTCTAATACTTGACCCTTCATACCTTCCATCGCAAGTGCATTCACCCCTTCCCTCGTAGTTGGAGATTTTAGTGGAACTAATCTTGAGTTCGTTAGTTCTAAATCTAACAGCCTTGTGTGTCCACCATTGCTATCCAGAAGCCTTGAGCTAATGTGACTACTGGATGCAAGTGTATTACAATTAACTTTGGTCAACACAAATACAACCTCATAATTTAGGAGTTCTTAAGCAGAAAATATAGTTTTTACGCAAGATAAGTGAGCATATAACCATATTTCTTTGTTTTTATTCCAGTCGCAGACTAGTGAATGACTCTTCTTAGTTATCGTTGGCTGCTTTACCCTAACTGGACGCTAATAATAACTCGTAGATATCCTTTAAAATCAAAATGGGAGAATAACACGTTCGATTGTATACGCTTACGTAGAAGATATTGTATAAATTGTGTACTAGAAATTAGGACTGATACAAGTAATATGAAGTCCTGTTTGCAAATACACCATGATTGAGTTATAAATAATTCCTAGTCTTGAGTAGCAATAATAAAACACTATGTGGCTTATTATGATCATTGTGTGACGATCCAGTTGAGGACTTTAGTAGTTGCTAAAGGCAAACATGAAAGCGTGAACGGCCAGGCTGTGCTTTTTCAAACTTTCCAACCCTAATGACCAGTCCAAAACAATTGTTTTAATGAGAGACTTAATCTTTACTGAAAAAACCCCAGTTCCTGCTATCGTTATTACTGAGGATTGTTAATAGACTACTGCGTTTACAAGCATCCATTTTTGATCTTGAAACTTGTTCTTTTTATGCTATGTGGTAACCGTATATCTTCGAAAATTTTTTTCTACAGTCATAATATTTATTGCCACTTTTCAGGGATCGGTAGAGATATTACCACCAGGTAGTCTAAGGAAAAACCAGTTCAGATGGCCTAGTTGTCCAATAGTCAATCTTTTTGTCAGCTTTATGTTTATTTATTTATTTATTTTAACACATAGATATTGGTACAAGGAGGCACCAAATATATATGCGCCACACAAATCTCATTCGATATGTGTGAGGGCTGTGATATTGCCCGGGTGCCCAAACTAAAGCAGGTGGTTTTCTTAGGGGGTCTATTCCCGAGCCTTCGACCTGAAGGTCTGATCCACAAGGTAGTGGAGCATTGTGAGGAGATGCTGTCCCGTGGTAGCCGGTGACCAGCAATTGGTTCATACGCCATTTGTTCCCACAAGATACTGGAGCCCATGTGCACCATTGGTTTGGAATCCGGTTAAAGCACCAGACATTCGCTTTTCGTCCTCTGATTTTCGTAAACAACAGCAATGCCACGAAAAGGCGGTGAGTAGGACTTCCCTGGCAGAGGCTATATACGCGTGGCCATGTGAGAGCATTTCGAGAGGGAGAACGGACTCTCCCCACTCTCGACCGTACCAGGGCATTTGGGGGCCAGCTTTATGTGCTCGTGTGCAACATGTATGTAGGACATACACCCGTTAAATTTAGTAAATACAGTAGTATAGAGAATTCGGTCCCACTGTACATTTGAGGATGACTAGATTATAAATATGATTGTGTTAGCAGTAGTAACTACTTTGATGAAAGGCTACAAAAAACTGATTGACAATCAATCATGTATGTTTATGTTCTGTCCAGACTTTTCTAGTTGGTTGCGCCTACAACCTCAATTCGCCAAGTTACATGTGCTATAAATAAAACCCAACATATATTTTGTCGATGCAATCCCACTCAACACTTTAAAATGACCGTAGATTAAATTTTTTCAGGTGTGTTAGGATGTTTGTCTAACTAAAAGCAAAAGTCATCTTGGATGTTCTGTAGATTGGATACTCATTCGATGCTGCAGTAGAGTCCTGACACTTCCTTTACATCTCCCAGCTTAAGATACGTGCGTAATCTATGTTTATCCTCAGATATCGTAGCATGGCTCATTGAAATCAGTTTTGGAGTGAGTACTATAACTTATCCCTTATTATGAAATCGAAAGTTATTAACAGCAATTTTTGTGTATAAAAGGAAGAACTGTCTGCTTGGGATTTGTTAACAATACATAACTCACTAGGCTAAGTACTAGGTATCATGGGTTGGGTCTCTATCATATATACTTCAGCGTAATCACCCTAATGTAGTTTTTGTTTTTTTTATAAACTATTTGAAATCAAAAGGATTCATCTTGATAACTCGTTATTTTGACTGTATTTTATGATTTTTTAATTAACCTAAGAAACTTATTGTATTTTCAAATAAAGAATAAAGGTAAGAAGGAATTTTTTTTCTTCTCGACGATCTCACTTACTGAAGCTGTACAGCCATGTTCATGGTGATTTAATTAATGTATGAGTCGATAAAAAAACCTTTATGACTCAACCTATTTCTACTTCTACACAGACGTCTATGGGATTTCACTTGTTGATTTTTTTGCGATGTGGTGTTGTGTTTCTTCACAACGTTGCTACTCCGTTTTTATGTGCTGTTTCTAAAAGCACATTTTATGTTATAATTAAATAAATAACACCGTTTTTTACTGTTTAATCGATAACACTGTGTAAACATTAAAACAGCAGTTTATTTTATCTTCCAGGTTTATTTGGCTGCCAAAAAGCTGCTAATTGACGACTTTTCAAAAGCCATATCTTCTCGGAGGAATTTCTAAATTATCTTTCTATGTCAATAAACAGTAAGTACTATTAGTTAATGTTGGGCACGATAGATCCCCAAAACTCATGTTTTTTTAAATTTTATCTTATCGATTAAATGTTTAAATATTTGTATGGGGGTCAATTGATGAACTTATTGATTAATGTTTAAAAATTTCCCATGACAATATCGATTGTAAATATTTGTATAAATACGCTTGATTTGTGTGCTTGACTTGACTTGTAATCTGCTGTTTGCCTGTAGAATACACTTTCTACGCCTCATCCAGACTTCTTGATCGAGTTAGCTGAGTCGGGGACAGCGAAGAACAATAGCTATCGAGTCTCTGAATCATTGATTCTTCGTTTCTTTCGAGCAAGACGAATCAGTAGTAGTATTCCAGCTTTAACAAACATAACAGTTAACTATTCCAAGTAACTATAACTTCATATAATCGGCATTCTTTTTCATCATATGCGGTATCGGATTATATAATGGTGTACAGATTAAAGCATTTGCGTTTTGGTTTACATGGGTTGTGTATTACACATAGTAAACCAAGTTTACCATTGTAAGACAAAGCGGCTTATGCCAATCAGGATTGTATTTGGTTCCTTTATGATGTTAGTTTGGCCGTAAAAGGTTGGATCTACTAGGCGTCGGTGAGGGCAGCTTTGCTCTATGCTTGTGAAACCTGGCCTTTTCGAGTCGAGGATGTCAGAAGACTGTGTTTGACCACTGTTGTCTCCGAGGGATCGCTGACATTCAATGACAACGCCGTATTAACTCAGAGTTACGGCAACGTTTATTCGAGTAAAGCAATGTTAACTCAATTGATGTCACCATCTTGAAACACCGACTCCGATTGCTCGGATATGTGCTACGAATACAGTCCTGGCCAATCCCTCATCGCGCAATAATTGTCGACACTGGGGACTTGTTTGGAAAATTGTTGAGATCGTCAGTGCATGACATGGTTTCGTTGCACGAAAGAAAGTTGTACAGGACAGGCTTCTGTCGATCTTTCACGACTCCATGGTTGGAGTCCTAGAGATGGTGCAACACAGTGGCTTGAGACTTTATCAGACATGGCTCAGAGTAGAAGCCAGTGGCTATCCTGCTATAAATTTCTTTTATTTTCTTTACAAAAGTGAAAGTAACGTTCTTAACAGAAAGAATTCTTTCTGGTTGTTTTTTTGCCAACTGAACTATTATTATTATTATTATTATTATTATTATTATTATTATTATTATTATTATTATTATTATTATTATTATTATTATTATTTAGTATTAATCTCGTTCGCGTACACTAATTTCTATTCATTGTTGTTCTTATTTATTATACTCACTTTCCTTTCTCTATTTCCTCGCAACCTCATTTTTATTATGCTGCATATATAGTTGGTGCCCCCTTTGTACCAATATCTGTGTCTGAATAAGTAAATAATGATGGACGATATCAGAGCTGATGGTAATATGGAAATAGACTGAAAGATGGCGCTAATTTGCGATACTAAATTTTTTTCTGAACCATGTAGGAGAAATGAATTTATCAACGGGAATCTTTGATGTCGAATTTTTATGCTGTTTCGTCAACATTTGAAAAGATGAAATAATTATGTAGTCTATTGGAAGGACTCAATATTTCATTATAAGTTTTCATACAAATATTTCGACAGACTACTCTACTTTGCTATCATCATCTTCATGAAAACATATATGGACTTCTATCCTTTTTTCCATTTCCAGTGTTCAATCGATTAGAAATTAGTAATGACATAGAAAATATATTAAGAATAAAGTAATAAACTGGAGCCATAATTTAACCCTTAAATCTTCATTTGAGAGTTTTTATTAGTTTAACGTTACTTCACCTTCTTATAGACCTTCCTGATTTAAATGTTTTCCGCAATACATACCTTTATCTCTGTATACAGAAAACTAAAGGGATTAAAACTAGTGGTCTGTAGAATGCTTTACTCTTTTCTGTAATATGTGCTTTCTATGCATTTAGTGCTGCTAGTTATTTGTTCGATTTGATAATCACTTACATCACGGAATGATAACTAAGAAAGTGATTGAAAACTATGAGTCACTGAACAGTTGTTCTGACATCGTCTAGACTCGTCTGTATCTGCTTACAAAATAAACCCCAGTACTGTTCGGTCTTACCGTGGGTAATTCCTATAGTTGGCAGCTCCAACTTCAGTCAATATAGCAAGTATTTCAACCGCTAGTCAGTTTCATTGATGTGTTTTATTTATTTGTTAGTACAAATATACAGCGAATAAATAACGTGAGTAGAACACTAAGGAGGAAACCCGAAAGAACCCTTTCAGTCAAACAAGTCGCTCCTTATTTTACAAAGAAAGTAAATGAAAATTACGGCGGGATTTCCATTGGTTTATATTTTAAGCGATGTCTGATGACATTACAAGTCACTAAGTGTCTCTCTCTCGGACCCCAACCAAGGAGTTGTTATGAACTGATAAATAAGAGTCCTATATACCCTCATTTTATATTCCGGTACTACGTCATAAACTGACCACCTCCCGTTTTTCTAACCAGTTCCAGCGTCAGCAATTAATGCACTATGTGGCAGTTGCTACGACAGCCAAATCATATAAAGGTGCAACAAGGTTCCCCGATAAGCGCTCGCAAAACAAGATTTTCGATTTGATAAATGTAAAGCTAGTTTCCAGTACTTCACTACAGTCTTGAATATACAGCTAACGTCTATGTTGCCATTTTCCAAAGAAATAGCTAAACCTATCTGTTTCCGATATGCATCAGTGTCTGAGAGTTGAGGAAGACCAATTTTAATGACACATGTAGTTTCAGAAAAGCTGATTGGGAGTCCATATTCTGTGGGAACATCCAAACTTTCGACCAGTCAGTGACGTGAGTTCGTTTAGACAGAAAATTTCTACTGTAAATGAACCGTATTAGTTTAAAACTAAGCAGAATGAAAACATAGTATAATAGAAACGTGGTCGAGGGTAAGATAAAAATACATGAATTAAATGGTAGTAATTGTCTTTTGAGTTAGTAATAAAGCAGAGTAATAAAACCAATTACTTCATAATCATTCACTGTCACTGGTGGATATCTGTTTCATTTATAACTTTTTCTGAGTCAATATTTTATGGCCTTATTATAATTTCAGAACGACTATCTAGAAGCAAGTTATTCAGCCTGACTCTAATCCTTATTGTGAATTGTCTTTAAATATACTACTTTTTTGTGTACAATGGTAAGTAAAGACCGTGTCCAATTCTCTGTACGTCATAAATAAGACATTTTCTACTATCAGAAACAGCATTCAACTGGTTGAAGCGTAAGGGGTCACTCTAATACGTTGTCGATTTAAGTTAGCACAGATACCATTTTAGTTTTATCTGTAAAACGAATACTTCGCAATTGGCGGTAGTAAAATGTCCCATTCTATGAAGCCATATTTGTTTCTATCGATCAGTACACTCGTAGCCAGGTAAGTCATCCAAAATACCAACTACTAAGGTGTTGATATAGTTGTTGGAGACAATAATCAGCGTAAAACATATCGGCCAAGACAAAAAGTATACTCAAAGCGATTAGTTAAGTACTTCAAAGTTCACGTTCACAAAGTAGGACGAAAGCTTAAGATCGAATCTTTAAATGTTATCTGTAAAATATAATAAAATTCTACTTAATTAGATGTTCAAATATGAAAAATATTTCGAATTCCAGTAGAAATGGCAATTCAACGTTTCCTTATATAACAAAATAGGCCTACAAAATTAAAACATCGTCTTTACAAAATATTGTAAAGCAATAACCATTCAATAAAGCTTGTACAAAACAGTTATCTGATTGAATATATATATATATATATATATATATATATATATATATATATATGCAAATAATTATATTATACAATGTACATTTTATGTCTTTTTCATATCAAAAAACCTGGAGTTGACAGTTGGACTGGTGTTAAAAATACTTTAAAAAGCCTATACTCAATTGGATTTTTCCGTGAAATATAATAATCGAAACGATGCCTGTTCCTTATCCTCAACATCCGATCCCTATTGAAGCGCTTTCTGAATATGACATTCGTGAAATACTCTTGGATGGTCATGAAATTCTTGAAAAGTATGTTTAGTGCATCCATTAATTGAAAATAATCAGGCCACTAACTCCAGCTGCAAACTTCCAGAGGATTATTAATCACATCGATTTTTCTGAGAGCAGCAGGTATAGTGATAATTGTTCTCAGAATAAAGAGTCTGAGTTTTTTCCAAAGAACTTTACACCAAAAATATGGGAAAATGTTAAGGAGACCCTACGGTATGTCGTATCGGGTATATCTAATTGTTTTTAGTACTACCTTGATTGAAATCAATGCTTTGGTTGACGTTCTTTCTATCATCAAAGAAGGAAAATATCTGGCCATTAATCCTGTTGCTGATGATTCGCAAGAAACTAATCTTTCTCTTTACCTATCTGGGAAAAAACGAGTTAGTTTAATCAAATTCTTCTCTTATTTATTTTGAAACGAGTAGTCTATCGCTGCTGCCGCTGATATCTTAATGAAAGGTGCTGAGCGTCTTCGTCGTAGACATAGTGAATTGATTGATGCTAGAGTCCGACGATTGAATTCAGTTGTACCTCCTCAGTTTGATAGTGCTCATAACTCCTTCCATAAAGCACTAATGCATCTACGCCAAGAATGGAGACTAAAGTTGCATCAAAATTCTATTTTAGGTGATGTTAGTCTACGGTCAGTTGGTTCTCACTTTAAGGAGTCTGGTAATTTCGAGATCCGGGAATCAGATGGTTTTGCTGATAGTAAATCAGATGTGGAGTCACAAGACGACAAGTGTGTTGATGCAGTAACTGGAGTTATGGTAAGAGATTATTTATCATTTGTCTGTAATTAATATTTTCTGCGCTTTATATGCCGTTAAATTTATAAATCATTTTTAATGTTATAGATTTAATGAATATTGAAATATGAAGAAGTTTGTAATTGAAACAAAATCTAAGTAGTAGTTAATTCCAATTCAATTGCTTCTGAACTATCTTTTATAATCTACAAAACTCCATTCTAATTCAGCTTCTTAGACCTCATTATTATCAGATGGGTTTTTGTGGAGATTGTAGTAATTTCAATGGTTAAGATCATGAGTCAGTTGGTTAACTGGTTAAGTGCTCGGGCGCGAAACTAGTAGGTCCTGGGTTCGAATCTCGCAGGGCGGGAGGTCGTGGATGCGCACTGCTGAGGAGTCCCACAATAGGACGAAACGGCCGTCCAGTGCTTCCAGGTTTTCCATGGTGGTCTAGCTTCAACTGGCTCATGATCTTAACCATTGAAAAGACCTCATTATGTTCAGCTATCAATTAATTGAGAGGCTTGCAAGTGATCGTACTTCATCACACCATCCATGCAGCCGTATTAGTAAGATCGGTCGAATTTCAACATAATTCCGTATTAGCTATAATACGTGTTAGGCCAAGTAGGACGATGTTCGGATATTCGCCAGCGAACATGTCCAGTTGTGCGACCTATGTAACTAACCTCAGAAGAGCAGTTTGATTGGTAGACTAACATAGATGAGGCGAATTCAAAAAGTTTCTTTTAGTAAAAGATAATCAACGTTGATTAAACGATCTATACTTGTTTACTTGATACAAGGAATTAAGAGAACATAAACATAACCTCCCATAAAACTGGAGTTTTTAAATGACTATACTAGTGAAATGATAACGAAACAGATCAGTAAAGCCCGGGAAAAAACGTTTAGTTCAGCAAAGCGATAAACCTTTTTCTACAACTGTCTCATCACACCTGGAAATAAAAATAGAATTCCCTAATTCTCCTTGCCGATATGTATAAGCCGATCGAACTATTCTTGTATAAGCCATTTATATCCGGCCGAAAATTAGGCAAATCCGTCATCAGATTCCAGGATATCCTGCTCGGTTTAGCAAACGACAATTATGATTTAAAGCTTTATTAACTGATAAAGAAAATCAAGTGAAGATAAACAATGCTTTCCAAATGATCCATCGTATTCCAGATGGATTAACTCCAAAGCTCTTTAGGGATGATGGTCCAGTTTTAGCGACTAAGTTGACTAATATTTTATCTAAAATCTGGGAACTGAACGTAATCTCTTCTGACTGGTTGCAATCACTGATCGTCCCAATATATAAAAAGGGGTCAAAATCGTCCTGTGGTAACTACAGAAGGATTAGTCTGACTAATATAACGTCTAAAATACTAGCCTCAATAATTATCAGACGCCTAACAAAACCTCGTGAACTGCAAACACGAGAAAATCAGTATGGCTTCAGACCTGGTTGCGGCTGCATTGACCACATATTCACCATTTTCCAGACTTAAGGAAATGTGCATGTTTATCAGCGTCAAACAATGGTGGTCTTTATTTAGTTAAAAGCAGTATTTGACTCTGTAGACCGAGATGTTCTGTGTCAGTGTCTGTCATTGAAAGGTGTACCTCAGAAGTACATAAACCTTGTGAAGGCTCTTTAATCGAAAACTACCAGTCGAGTGAGAACCTGCTTCGGTTCGGGCAATCGGAAGTAGACTTATCCCCCGATAGTTGTTACAGGAACGACGTGAACCATTTTTAAAGATGGGGACAACTATCAACTCATTCCATGACGTTTGCACACTATCTAGTTCCCAAACCTTTGTAAACAACGTCGTCAATTCCTTAGTCAGAAAGTCACCACCATCTTTAAAAAGAGCCGGAGGTAAGTCATCTGGGCCAGGTGATTTGTAACGCTTCAAGAGTTGGAGTTCCTTGCGGACTTCCTCCTCGTTTGGTGGATCAGTCGTCACCGGCCATGGAGGACAGGACAGTCTGACCGATGTTGCCGGAGCGGCAGGCCAGTTGAACTGCCCTTCGAAAAATTCTGCCCATCGTTCAAGACGTCGATGGATGTTAGTGATTGGCATCCCATCATCCTCGCAGATTGTTTCACTCACACCAGACTTCTTGCTGCCAGTGGCTCGGATGAGTTGGAAGAGCTTCCGGTAGTTACCAGATGCAGCTGCTGCTTCCAGCTCATTAGCACGCTTCGACCACCAGGCTTCTCGGTCCTTACGCAAGCTTTGCCCGATTTCATTACGTAACATCCTTCGTTTATGGTCAAACTCACGGTCACCCGGAGTAGACCGACGGGCTTCAATGAGTTGTAAGGAACCTGCAGAAACCCAGTGCTTATAAGCGGGACGTTTCGCGAACCCACAACTGACTGTACCCGCCATTTTCATGGCGTCATGCAATTGCGACCAATGCTCATCTATACTTTTCGGTGGAGTGGTAGCTAGCCTAGAGGCTAGCTCGGTTCGATACTTACTTGCAACAGAAGCTGCAACCAGCTTGCTAACATCAATCCGTTGATGGCGGTCACTTCGTTGTCCACTGAAAAGTAAGGTAAGATTGGCGCAGACCAAGGCATGATCAGAGTCCAGATAGGTACTCCAAAAGGAGCGGCAGTCTTGTACCCAACCAGGTCAGTGGTAGCTGATCGCGATGTGATCAATCTGAGTCCAGGCTTGAGATGCAGAGGGAGGACGCCAGGTGGCACATCGGCGATGACTGTGCCGAAAGTTAGTGCTAGCCAGAAACAGGTTGTGGTCTGTGCACAGTTGCAGTAGACGGTCCCCGTTATCTGACCTGCGACCAACGAGTCCCCATCGGCCACCTAAACGACTCTCTTCTGTGCCTAGACGCCCGACCTGAGCATTCAAGTCTCCGGCTAGTACTACAATATCTGTCGAACGCACTTTCTGGAGAAGAACAGATAACTGGTGGTAAAACTCGTCCTTGATTGCATCCGGGCTGCAATCTGTCGGGGCATAGGCGGAGGTGACGAAAAGACATCGTTTCTCACGCTGATTTCTTCTCACTTTGATGGAACTTTCTAATCTAACAGCACATAACCGCCTGTTTATGGGGATCCAATCAACTAGTGCTGCCTCAGCTCTAGCGCTTAGTGCGACACCAACGCCAGCAAGACCAGACGAATATGCCACGCGGTCCTCGGATAAGCGCACGTAAAACAAGCTTTTTGAAGTGACAGATGTAGAGCGAATTTGTAGTACTTCACCAGAGTCTTGAATACGGGTCTCGGATAGACAGCAGACATCAACATTAAGACTTTCCAAAGACATAGCCAGCCCTATCTGTTGTCCAACCTGCATAAGTGTGCAAACGTTGAAGGCAGCCAGTTTGAATGGTGCACGTGGTTTCAGAAAAACTGCTTCAGTCCTCGTATTCGGTGGTAACATACAATTTTCAACCGGACAGTGACTCGAGAACGTTTAGATACAGTCGAATTTCCACCAAAGACGAGCCGCTGTATAAGTATAAAAGAGGGTGAATAATGTGGAAAATAATAATAATAATAATAATAATAATAATAATAATAATAATAGTAATGATGATAATTTGAATCAATTGGTTGTTTTTCGAAGCGAGAAATGTAGTTTTCATAGACATAGAGAGTTCATCATTTGTGTGTGGGCTGCGATACTGCCCAGGTGCCCAAACCGAAGCAGGTGGTTATCTTAGGGGGCCACTCCCCGAGCCTTTGACCTGAAGGTCTGATCCACAAGGTAGTGGAGCATCGTAAGGAGATCCCATGGTATCCGGTGACCAACGATTGGTTCATACGCCATTTGTTCCCACAGGATACTGAAGCCCATGTGCACCATTGGTTTGTGATCCGGTCAAAGCGCCGGACATTCGCTTTTCGTCCTCTGATTTTCGTAAACGACAGCAATGCTACGAGAAGGCAATGAGTAGGACTTCCCTGGCAGAGGCTGTATACGCGCGGCCGTGTGAGAGTATTTCGAGAGGGAGAGCGGACTCTCCCCACTCTCGGCCGTATTAGGGCATTCGGGGGCTGATAAAATGCAGTCTTCTGGTAGCACTGAGTAACAATGCCAGAATGTTTGGGATGCGCTTGTCCCCCTTTAAATGCAAGTTGTTGCTTCAGGACTGGCCTGCGTCAACACCCGAACTAAGGATAGAGGGTGAAATAGTTGAACGTGTTGACAACTTCACTTATCTTGGAAGTCTGATCAACCCTAATGGGTTGGTATCTGACGAAATCTCAGCACGGATTCTAAAAGCTCGTTTGGCTTTTGCCAACTTACGTCACCTATGACGAAGGCGAGATACTGCGCGGCAGTTCGTTTTGTCCTACTTTACGCCTGAGAAACATGGCCATTAAGAGTAGAAGATACTCGTAAGCTACTAATATTTGACCACAGATGTCTTAGAAATATTGCTGGCGTCTTCTGGGATCACCGGGTAAGTAATAGTGAGGTTAGATGCAGGGTAATAGGGAACGATTGTAAATCAGTTGATGAGGTTGTGAGTCTTTATCGACTGAGATATTTGGGTCACGTGTTACGTATGCCCGAACACCGATTATCACGACACGAAATGTTGACAAGTGTTGGAGATGGTTAGAAGTTAGGAGCAGCTAAACTAAAACATGGCATCAGTTCATGAAGTCATTAACTCCTGGTCTGAGCCATGTTGGTAGATGCAGACTGCTTGGTTGAGGTCCACACAACTGTTGTAACCAATGGTTAGAGACTCTGGATTACATTGCTCGGAATGGATCACAATCTTGTCGGTGTGTACACTCTTTGTCTTCCCTTGAACCGTGAGATTAAAACTACTCTATACCTTTCTTTCTACGAATTATTTCTTTCTCCGTGTATCATATCCTTATATGCAATCTTTTTTATTACGATTGAAGTAACGGCTTCTGTGAATTTGATGTTTACTTTGTTGTGTTAATGGGGTATGACAACTTGGACCGATGCATATATAGGCCTGGTCCGATGTTGTTTATGACTGACCGATTGAATTCCAGTAAATTTGCGGCATCGTTTGCTCGTTTGTCGGATGCAGCTGAAGACATTCATCTAATCAAATCTGTTCTCTGCATTTATAAGAAATTTGTACAACTTTTTTCTTGGTCATCAGAACTACTGATACTAGAGCTGGTTACAAATGACTTATTACTTCCCGTTTGTTTTTGAAAATGTTCTCAATTTTTGTTTTGGATATTTACTCCTGCATAACCGTAAGATCTCCCTCTCCACCGTGATTTAACTACTGTTAATATTCGAACTTTATCAAAATGTTTGTTAACTCTCTAGCTAGATATCATTTAATAATCCTATTCTATAACTAAATATTTCAATCCATATATTTAACCAATAAATATCTTTGCATAGTGATTACTTTATCCATTTGTAATTTTTTAATTACTTGATTAATAGTTTCATCAACACAACGCCATTATATTGTTATTAATTTTATTATTGTTAAACATTTATATTAGTGTGAGATCAAGATGAAAAACTAATCGGAAATAAATAACAGTGATCAACTATAGAAGTCCGATATAGATGCAGTATTTTTTCGGTATTACAATTAATTATTTTCACTGCTATTATTTGATACTGAAATTTAATTTAATAATGAAAAAAATAATACTCGTTTATTTATTTAATCGTTTTGTCATTTACTTTTAATAGATAATTTTTTCTCAGTCTATGGAAGCTCTTTTAAATTTATCTCATGGACCTGGTTTATTGAATGTTGAATTCCTTGAATCGGATATTAATTCACTACCCACACCTTTATTGGAGTTCATATTTCATAAACAACAAATATCCTCATGTTCTAGGGATCCGTTACCTATTAACCAAAGACAAAAACTTTTCAAAGCTCAGAGATTATTAGCATGTCGAGAGATTTTATCTTTGCTTAGTTGTGAAGCAAGTACTTCAAAGGAATATAATCATCTAACTGGTTCTGTCGCTTTTGCCACTCAGGTTAGTTTTTAACACCTATATTTCTCCTGTTATTGATAGTAAGTTAAAATAGTTTTAGAAAAATCTATGGGCCATAAAGCAAAGTTTGGTTACGAATCATAATATTTATGGAAGTTGGTCGATATCATTTTAGTTCTAGTACAGTATCATTTCACTTCTCATGAACGCTGAAACACAACCACTCTTAGCGTCATTTATGTCTTATACCATTATATGATGCTTTCTATAAATCCATTCAAGTAACCTGGTTCGCTTGTATTTCATACTATAACACTGTTTACCGTTTATTTTTATTATCAGTCAAGAATACACTATCCACGTACCCAATGTTCGCCATCTCATCATTCACTTCTTTGAGTTTCATCATCGACAAAACTGAGAAGGAAATGACTAAATAAGATAATCTTAGCTGTCCGTACGTCTGGTTCATAACAACGTGGTTAGATGGCGGTTTTAATTATTTCTCGAGTCTTTGCGTTTAGAACCTTAAGTTCCTCTGCAAATCCACTCTTGAGCAGACACTTTCTTTGTACAGTCATTGCAAAGAATTAACTGCAAAAAGTGCTTTCATTAAATGTTTAGTCCTGACCACGATACGTATGATAATGTTTACGAATCTATAGGCCGTAGACGTAGCCAACATATTCTAAATATGAATGAGACATAATCTTTTACACGTTAATATTTTTTCCCTACGTGTTTTACAGTATGTGTGATTCTTAATCTATACATCACATTTTTTTAATGAAAGATTTATGCTGATAGATTCTTAATATACCCAACATGAATCCTTTAAGATCGTGAAAAGTAGTTTTTGTTGACGTCATATGTTTAGTATCTGCGACATTTTTGTTCACAGTCAAACCACAGTCGTGTTTCTTTATATTTAAACAATATAAAATGAACGAGGTAGAAAATTTGATTTGTTTCCAAATTTTAATAGATAATTAGTTTTTGGTACCACGAGTTAAATAGATAAATGGATGTGGCTTTACTGCGAAGTACAATTTTATGTGCTAAGTTGTTGTGGATTGTGAAAACTGTAATACGAGATATTTCGAAACCCGTAATTCAATATTTGAAAGCTGATGTTAGCAGACCATGATTCTGTTTCGAAAACTAATAAATCTGTAACTTAGTATATCTCAAATTCTAATAGGATATCAGCTGTAAATTAAGCCAAATCTGTAGAAAACTAAAAATAATGACAGCTATCCTTCAAAAGGTGTCATCTCTATATTATGAGATTGAAATTAAATAACTAGTATAGAATTGTTTTAAGTGAATCATACTTGTTATTTTATGCTTACTTCTATAGGATAAGATCATAGCTACATTATTTCCGGGAGTACAAATATGTCTGTCGTCCGCTGTTAGACCTACAGTTTTTGGTGAAGATGTATCGGGTGACGAAAGACCAAAATTGCAAGATAAAAAATCGGATCATACAGTATCTACTATGGACTATTCAAATTGCATAAACTTGCAACTACATCGTATGTTAGCAGGTCAGCATCGTGCAGTGTGGCCGAATCTTGCCAGTTTGCCACAGCCTACATGTGGCCCTGTAGAGATTCCTTTATACTATCGTTCAGGTGGTGCAAATGGATTACATGCTTCGAAATTCTCATCACTACCATATAGCACGAAGTTCTCTGGATTTTCTGTCGCTGTAGCTAGTGTTTCTGGTTTTGCTTCCCAAGCTGCTTCTGCTTTGTGTGTTATTCACGCTACTAACCGGATTAACTCAAATAGTGTTGAGAAAACAAACACCTTTAACCAGCGGTCCCAACCCATCTTCGCTGGTCAAGATCGCTTGTCGCTCTTCACAGAATGGGGACACTCACTCCCAGGTGGAGCCTGTGTTCCATCAGTTGGGTTTCGTCATGGGGTACCAAACTCTGCTGATGATTCAGTCCCTGGCACGAGTGACATCGCCATGCTGGAATATACCCTGTTATCTCGAGGAGTTGATGAAGACACAATGAAAACTGTTCTTGGTACGAATCCGTCGTTACTTAGCCGAACCATTGCCATATCTCGTCATCACTATCTTCGAGATCAGTAAGTTTATGTATATTTTGACTTGTTTTACGGCTTTATTTTGGAACAACAGTTTTGTTCTTCTAGTTCTAAAGGCATGGACACCTTGTCTAAAAGGTGAAAGGAAATCTGTTAGGTCTACTAAGTTCACTTAAATTGCATGGTCTATATATATATATATATATATATATATATATATATATATATATATATATATATATATATATATATATAGCTAGTTTCCAGTCAACGAATAAAATACAACTAATAAAATTGCGGATGCTCATGGGTATTATTCCCAGAATATGTAAATCATTTGTGGTTTTCTGACTAATGAGGAACATCATTCCTTCGAAGTCATGTCCATTTAAAATAGATAGAATTTCGAGGAAAAAATTTCTTCAGTGAAGTATCTTTTAATTTTTTTAGTTTATGTAAGAACCTATTTCAACTGAGCTTCGAAGACAATTTTTCTGGTTATTTTTGCCTTATGCTATATGTACTCGTGATTTGTTTAGAATGTAATGAGTTATACTGTCTGATAATCATCAACAATCCTTAATTTGTTATGCATATACAATCGAATGGTCCTTGTTTGCTTCGAGGTTACGTATTGACTGAAGCTTATTCTCAGGTCTTCTGTTCATGCGATACTTAACAATTAACTGTTAATATTCTTCTTCTTAATCATTTCTGTCAACATCAAACATTTAGTTTCGTCAACTCAGTGCAAGTCACAAACTTTAACAACTAACTTCTCTTGAGTAAAACTTCAAACCTAACTTTGATACTTTTAATTTTGAGACTATGCATCACGCCGATGACTATGAGGTATCATGTATTAATTAATGTGTTTGAATTAGTTTTTCTACCTTTTTACTTCTCAATTTGATTTCACTTCCAGAGTATACTCCATCATATCCGAACTTTCTCAATGCTCTCCTATTAAGATTATAGCTCATTGGGATACTTTTAATTCTGCTACTGAAACGTCAGTCAGATTGTGTTTTTACTGTACAGATTATGATGCCTATCGTTCGTGGTTAGGTGTAACAATTACACCTAATGGTCTTGTGGTGTTGTATGCAGACCCTCCTAGAACATATCGTTTAGGTATGGATCTAAACAGACTCAGAGATGTTTTGAACAATCAGGTATGTTTATTTAAAAAATTATAGTCCTTGTACAATGAATCTGTTATTGAGGTTGTACTATTTGATTTTGTAGTTCATTTCAATAATGCACTTACGTAATATTATAAACCGTATCCAAGAATCATTATTTAATGTTTCTGATAATAACTGTTCAACTACTAAGGTATAGTGCTAATTGTTAATTATAAAAATAATGATATGTTTACAAAATCCCAATGAGTATAGAATAAAAACTTGAAGTTTCGTGTCTAAGTGTAAACCAGTTCTCCAAAGAATAAATTTTCTATGGAATCTCTGAAGTACAAAGTACTGTTACAAGACTAAAAATACCCTGATTTCATTTAAGCTATTTGATTTAGTTGAAAAGTTCATGTAGTTGGGTAGGTTGACTAAACAACACGTTTGTGACCCTAGTTCTATTATGTACGTGTAAATCTACATACTGATAAGTCTTGTTAATTTGAACGCTTTATTCGGTTCCTAAGCTATTCTGGTAACGCGCAAGCTAGAACTACGCAGCGAACTGAACTCGAGAGAAAAGGAGCAAAATAAGCGGGAAACACTACTCCAAAGGTTCATTTTTGTACAGAAAAACACGGGTATTTATAGATGTTAACATTTGTTAAATCAACATCATATTTTGGCCAATCTGCTAAAAGACATATTATGCTACTGACCAATAGTAGCACGCCACATTGATATTCTAGAAAGCTCCATCATGCACTGATTGGCTAGGACTCTTCGGCTCCTTTAGGGCCTCTGGAGACTCCGTTGCAGTTCTCGGAAAGCCGACTCAACACATACCTCCTGTATTCAGTCATCATTATCTCTCATGGACTGCCGATATCCAGTGCCAACATCATATTAGTAATGGTTAGTTCCATCGGTGCGTATCTGAGCACAGCGATGATGATTCATTTGACATCATATTGAAACATCGACTCTGGTGTTTCGGACATTTCTATGAATGTCATCTCAGTGGCTTCCACATAATTCTAGTATTGAGTTGAAAACATTGGGAAATGAGTATATAGTATCGCACTGTGGCAACAAAGACACCCGTATATTACTGATATCTATCTGTCCATCATGACTTTCGGGCCTGAACTTTAGAGATCGCCCGTGCTGCGACCTGAAATATTAGATATTTCTCAGAATATGAGCTATTTCCAATCCTGTCATAATTTTCTCTTGCATTCTTCTGAAAGTGAATCTTCTTAAGTGAAAAGGTGTTTCTTGGATGCATTTTTGCATGAGCTGTTTCTCTTAGTAACTACCAATCTTGTTCACTTATTTGCTGATTGTACGACTCTTCCTTCTATTTCTTCATAATATTATCATTTTCTTTTTGTGTAGCGCATGTCTGTGTATAACCGAATGTGTTATAAATAAGCAAATGCTTTAGATTAGTCTGTTGTAAGATATTGATAATATTTGCAAGTAGTTGTCGTTTTCACATGACATACACGCTTTGGAAAATCCATTTATATTAGTAGATAAGGTTTATAAATGAATTCTTGAGTATATTTTTGGTTTTTGAGTACATTATCTTGAATAATGATATTATCCTTCCTATCTCCTAAGGTGATATTGGTGAGTGTATGTATCAGTATGCTCAGTTAACCCACTTTGTTACAAGCTACAAACTGACTAGAAAAAAATAGAAATTAACCGAGCAAAATTAAGGATAAGTGCATGGTCAAGTCATCCAACCCACAAAACCTGCTGTAAAATAGTTTAGATATCATCAACTATAAATTTTGAAATCTTGAATTGTTTGTTTTATTTATTTTTTATAGATAATTAACTCTTAATTGTTTGTTATGCTCTAAAAACCTTATTCATCATAATATAAAAAGGCTTTTAGTGCCTATTTATAACTAGCAAAATTAATGACCAAATATCATGTAGTAGTTATCTTAACTCAGCATATTCTTGTTTTCAAAGTTATTACATAGTATTAACAAATAAATGTCTTCCACTTAGATTTCCTTTCCACTGATCTTCAACTTCAGGTATTGTATACACAAATGAATTATATAGATATATTGGCTATAAAAATTTTGGGTTGGGTTCGACTAGGGAATAATCCATTTTCAGCACTAGCCAATCCTGAAGAAATCGGTGATGGTCCAGTGATAGTAAAAATGTTTGCATCTCCTTCTGCTAAACAGTAAGCTGATATTTCGTATACCAATTTTTTTCTTTTGTGTTTCATGAATATTACTGTTAATATCCTTTCCACACAATTATTTTGTTGTTACAATTTACTTACATATGATCATAATATGAACTAGTCCAATCCTAATAGTAATGTGTGAGTGATCTGAAGTTTATTGGTAAATTTAGCGAAACTGATACTCAATATTAATGCATCTATTACATAGTTTATCTGAATCCAGTAGGATTATATTTAGTTCATAAATGATTGTGAGCACTACCTAGACATTTTTGTGTATTTTGAAGCGGAACGAACTGTAATATTACAATGTCGATAGGTACTGTTATTCAATATCAGATGACAGAACGTTAGGTGTGAACAGCTGTTAAGTAGATCTAATTTTAGAGATGAAATACTGAATACATATATCTTTACTGTTGAGATATATTTCTAGTCACAGGATTTGATTTCAGTTCCTTAAGGTTACTATTTAATAAAACCATGGTTCCTGTCAGTTGCTTTATACAGTGGTGATAAATCGTTACATGATAACAATGAAACACCCGCCATTATTCCACTACTTTTAAAGTGTTATCTACCATTTTTCCTGTTTCGACATTAGCAACATGTGTACAAAACTTAATAGCCTCGTTAAATATTTGTACCTTTTTACTTGAGACTGTAAACAGCCTCAGTCCTTCGATTATCTAAACAAAGCTGAGTAATACTATAGGCTTAAATAGTCAAGTTTATGTCTACACTAGTCGGTTGGATAGTTTTAGTTTCATACACATATTAACTATCAGAACCTAAGTGACACTTTTGTTAGATCATACTTTTCATTTTTTGAAATTACAGTACGATAGTCGTTAAAATTAATTTCAAACAAGGAACTAAAGTTAGCACTTGTGTACAAAAGGATTAAAATTCAAGAACGTTAGCGTGTACTTGGTAAATGAGTGACACTGAATAATTTAGAAAAACACCAAATTGTTTGAAGTCTAAACAAACATTTTAAAAATGAACTCTTACTGAGCCTCCTAGTTATTAGTCATTTTCTGGTGTTATTTACATCGTGTAAATAAAATCCATCGCTTTTATATCCCTTATTGGGATAAGTCTAAAGATCTTGAGGATTCTAAATGATGTTTTACTTCAAATCGCTTACATCTTAAAGCTTTCAAATAAGTTATTTTATTATTACACTAGTACTAGTAAAAATATTTTCTGCTATTTACATTTCCTAAAAAAGACAGATTGACTCGTTTGAAGATCATTCCAATTGTTGTGTTTGTCCTAATATATCCTATACAGAATAAACGAGTTCCTGCTTGAATAGAGTTACTTATTGCTGTTCTAAAATGTCATGGATAACACCTCAGTGTTTTGTAATTTGGTAGATGAGTCCCATAAAAAACACTAACAGAAATCAGGATAAAATTCAGGCTGGACGAAACGCACATCCTAGATTCCGTTGCTAATATAGGAGGAAATAATATTTAAAAGTATATTCTGAAATATTTATTGATAGTCATCCTAAAGCCCATACAATATGTATTACTGACATATATTTGTTTCTTCGAAAGATTTTCTTGAATCTCTTTTATTTACTTGTAAGTATTTCTCATGCTCTTTCGTCGTATTGATTTTTGGTGTTACACTTTCTTTTATCAAACACCTGTTTATCGGGAAATGTATTGGTTTTAATTTGTTGTTAAGTTTCTCTTTCTGTTTCTCCACACCATTTTAGTTTAATTTGTTTACGTGCAAGTGCTGTCATGGATATTCGAATGTTTGTTTCTCGTTGTAGTCCATGCGACTACCAATTTACTACCGATCATAAAGATATATTTTCAAATCAAGACTTTCGTGAAGTATTTCTTTCTCATATGTATGGAAAAAGTTTGGTGTCCAAAGTTGAAGCACTTATGACTTTATTATCCTAATGAAAGTATTATAAAAGATTTTGTTTTAATTGTGTAAATAAATATTACTTTATACATTCACTTTCTGATGTCAATTATACATCTAAAGAGGTGTAATTGTTAGTCGTTTATGAATTAAGATTACCAGTAGGTCATTCAAAGGTGTACCTTAGAAGTACATAAACCTTGTGAAGGCTCTTTACTCGAACACTAATAGTCTAGTCAGAGCTTATGGCGAACTGTCATCTACTTTTGCAACTTCAAGTGGTGTCCGTCAAGGCTGCCCACTTTCTCCATTTCTGTTTAGCTTCATCATAGACCTACTGATGGAAATAACGTTCTCGTCGACTGAATTCTCGGGTATTGATCTCTTTCCAGGAGGTCCACTTATCGACTTAGAATACGCAACAATGCCAGAATGTTTGGAATGCGCTTCTCTCCCTCTAAATGCAAGTTGTTGCTTCAGGACTGGCCTGCGTCAACACCCGAACTAAGGATAGAGGGTGAAATAGTTGAACGTGTTGACAACTTCACTTATCTTGGAAGTCTGATCAACACTAATTGGTTGTTATCGGACGAAATCTCAGCACGGATTCTAAAAGCTCGTTTGGCTTTTGCTAACTTACGTCACCTATGGCGAAGGCGAGATATCCGTCTATCAATAAAAGGACGAGTATACTGCGCGGCAGTCCGTTCTGTTTTAATTTACGGCAGCGAAACATGGCCATTAAGAGTAGAAGACACTCGTAAGCTATTAGTATTTGACCACAGATGCCTTAGAAATATTGTTGGCGCCTGTTGGGATCACCGGGTAAGTAATAGTGAGGTTAGACGCAGGGTATTAGGTAATGATGGTAAATCAGTTGATGAGGTTGTTGATCTCCATCGACTGAGATGGTTGGGCCACGTGTTACGTATGCCTGAACACCGATTACCACGACGTGCAATGCTAACCGGTGTTAGAGATGGTTGGAAGAAAGTAAGGGGCGGCCAAACCAAAACGTGGCATCAGTGCTTGAAGTCACTAACCTCTATTCTGAGCCATGTTGGTAGATGCAGACTACTTGGTTGGGGTCCGCGTGACTTTCGTAACCGATGGTTGGAGACTCTTGGTGACATGGCTCAGAATCGACCACAATGGCGTAGGTGTATACACTCCCTGTCTTCCATTAAACTAAGAGATTAAAATCACTTCATATCTTTCTTTCTACTAACTAATTCTTCCTGTACTGTATCCTTATATGCAATCTTTCTCCTATATATTACCACCTTTGACCTAACCACTCATATGAATCCGGTGTTCATCTTGCTGTGCTAATGAGGTACGGCAACCTGGACCGATGCATATATGTGCTTGGTCCTACGTTGTAGCTGACTGACATAAACAGTTTATTAAATCATTATTTGGTATACCTTCTATACTGCTAATAATAATAATAATGAATGAAATTTTTGATTTGAACTTAAATTACGAATTTTATTTAGATAACATGATTACCTAATCCTGTTAGTAATTAATAGTGTTACTTTTGACGTACGATGTCCTTATTACCAAACTATCCGGATTAATTTCGTTCCATAATTAAGATTACGTTTGCCTCCGGTGTAATGTTAATTAAGTCATGAAACTAAGTATTGTTAAGTAAAGTTTATCTCTAGCATCCTTGTATCTAGCCAAGCTATCAAACAGGCAACGGACAAATGCCTGTATGAATGAAATCAAAGTCAAGTGTATACATATGTATATACAAAGTGTCGTGAATTAAAAATCCATCTTGAGCGTGACAAATCCGTCAGAAAAACGTGCATAGACATTCATAAACGCATATGTGTACACAGATAAGAGTTTACAATTATTTATAAGAGGAAGAACAAAGTAACCAATGCTACTGTAATTATAAGCTTGACAACGAAGCCCTTTTCTCATACCGTTCTGACAAAGCCCAAAAGGATAGGCATGCAGAATAACGGAAATAAGTGAAATGATCAACCTGTCGATAAAATAGGACAAAGTTCCCACAAGTCGATCCTAAAAGATGATTCCAGTGCCTAGACGCGATCAGTGCTCATCATATGTTCAACCTTTGAGCTATTGCCGAATAGCATCCATCTTAAGATCGAAGTGCAGAGTAGTATTATAACATTTGTTTAACGAGTTTACTCGTCGTTCGACTAATGACATTCACATGAACAGGTAAACAAATAAATTAGGATTAAGGCTTTCGAAAGCGGCTGTTTGTCGTTAACGTCTCTCCAAATGAAGTGTCTGATAAAGAAAACTCGAAGCTGAATAGAAACTATCTTTAAGATTTCTTTTCAGAATAGATGTTCATGAACAAAATCTTTAGTACTGTTAGAGTATTTCCGAGTTGCTATTTTAGTTTTACACTAATTTAGATGTCTCTGGCTTGGAAAACCACTCAATTGTTGTTCATCGGATTTTACTCATCATCGCAGTCAGGCTTCAAAGATATAAAATTGATTGAGCTCTGGTTGCCTAGTAACACCCAACTTCGAAAGCTTGTATATTGTCTGTTACACGTTAACTTTCTATATACCGATCTTCGTAGAAAGCGCTCTGGTCATCCCTACAGAAAAACATTAAGAAAATGAAATTCATATTTTACCTCCGATTTTATTGTGAAGGTGTTGGCAACTATTGAACTGATGTAGGGTGTTATCAACATCCATGTTCTCGCCACATAATGGAGGTGTTGTTCATACAATTCTTGTATTGTTGTTCGAAGGACTGTTCTCCAGAATGATCACGATACTCAGACCCAGCAGCGAGTCTATTTTATTCCGATCAATCTGCTCATATAAGTAATAGTTAAATCTGAATTGAATGTTGAAGTGCAACGTAGTATTTTTTTATGCAATGTTTTGCAGTACCGATTCGGATTATGTTATCTTAAATATAAATACATAAGAAGCAGATTGTGTGTGTAAGAGGAACATTATAAAGAGAAAAGCAAAATCTAATGATATCATTTTCTTTCCTAATAAGTTGATTTCGGGTATTCAATAAGCGAAATCATAGGGATCAGAAACTCTATATCGAATTATCTAATATATGACTGGTTGTAGAATTTCCACTAACATTTTGGGAGTTGTTTGGTATGAGAAGTTATTAACTTCAATCATAAGTCGAAGAGGAACATATATTATTAAACTTTGGGAAATCATAAAACGGTCGGATAGTGAAACCTGATAATTTTAAATGTCCAAATAGGTCAATGATGATGGTTCATTTATTTTAAAAGAAATTTTATCAACATTTATTTAGCTTGGTTGGTTGTATCTATTTAATTATTTCTTCAGAATACTTATATGCCTCTGTCAGTTTAAAAACTAACTTAATAATATAATCCAACAAAATATGCTGAAGCATATTCTCATTTTATCCGTTTCCTCAAATAAATTCTTAAATTAAGGAGAGTTATTACTGTGACCTAATACTGAAGTAGATTAATTGAAAAGTAGCTTTATAGTAGTGTTACTTCTTTTTAATTAAAACAATTGCATCAGTTAAACAATGAATATCTGTAATTTGTATTGTTTAATTTTTCTGCACGTAAATACAAATAAACAATAGTAGTTATTTATTTACTCACGTTAATAAAGTAAACATGTGTTTTTGTGGATTAACTTAATGCTTAAGATACTCACCTTTAATTATTATTCACGTGTCATTTATTTGATTATACTCTGTAAAAATTGAATACAATAAACAATTGCTTATGGATGTATAGTGATAAACTCTCAACTTCAGTAATATATTTATTTAAAACTCATAATATAGTAGAACATTGTATTGCGACTTAACAATGATAAAATTATAAGTGGATATAGTTTATATATATATATAGTATATATATTACTAGTAAACATAACAAGTGAACATATAATATTGACCTTATTGTCTATTACTATAGCAACAGGCAGTCAGTTTTTCCAGCTTATTCTGAATTATCCGGATGCTATCTTATATGTGTAAACAAGGCAAATTCATCTATGCTCCCTGTATGTCACAATATGAATTGATTCTGCAAAACATAATTTTCTCTGCATATCATAAGAAATTCAAGTCTTAAACAATGGACGATATATATATATATATATATATATATATATATATATATATATATATAGCCCCGCCCTAAACCGTGTTCAACAATTTAGATTAAAACATCTGAATTATTACAAGAATTTTGGTGATAATGATAAATTCATAGTTTAAGTGTTTGCCGTCACTGATATTTGAAAGGATAATATAGAATAAAAAACGAAATAATTTCTTATAAGAAGAAATAACTTATTGTTGAACCGTGAATTCAAACGATTAACACTCTAGATGAGAATAAACTTGTGAAAATAAAATAAAGTTCATTCATTCCCTCAGAAGATATTTCTGTTTGATGAAGTATAAAAGTAAAGTTTAAATAGTAATCAACATTTTAAGCTTGTAATAATAGTTACTTTAGATCTAGTAATTCTCGGTTTTTTATTATATTCAGGACGTGTATTTCTGTAAGTTAGTAGCGATTAAATAACATGGGATATTAGTGGATTAAAGAGAGTTTAACAATTATTTACTGACTCCTGTACTGTGAGATTCGATCCTGAATGTTTAGTCCCAGGTTCATGAACTTGATAGACTCTAAATGTTACAATAAAAATAAGAAATTTTCTTTATTTTATTAGATAAGTTATAAAATCAAATCCAACTCTTCCAAATTATGGGAAATAGTAACAGATAATCTTGAATAAATGCGAATTTCATCGTTCACAATAATCTTATGACTGATAGGAAGCTAATGATAACCAAAAATGTTGAAATTGAACTACAATTAATAAAAACATTCAATTGGATTATTTACACAACAGATTTTTTCAAAGGAGTCAGCTGTATGGTCAGCTTTTTAATTTTACTTTCATTTGAAAAATCCTGTTCTTTAGTATATTAAGTATACATTATGTGAAATTTCAACACGTTGTGAATGACCATTCTAGAAGTTACAGACCATTTTTACTGACGTTCCATCAATTGAACTTAGGAAACACATTTATCGAA